GTGCCAAAAAAAAGGTACTCCTTTAGACAGACTGAGTGTTTTCTGATATTATGTAGTCCTGGAGCATTACAAGATCATTTTAAAATACAGACAAAAATATAAAGTAAACAAAACACTTGAAAAGAGAAAACAAAAATGCTCGAGAATGAGCTACTTGTTAATTCGTACAGATCTCGTCTTCAGAAAAGTATTGAGGCTTTCCTTCCCCGTTATCCCGAGACTTATTCAGCCACATTGTCTCTAACATTTCTTTGACTACTACTGAATCTGGTTGGTGACTATAGCAACAGAATAATCCAGTGGGCAGAAAGGGTATTTGAATACTTTGTGCGGTTGGTTAAACCTGCTTTACATGCAGCATTTTTTGTGTTCAAGCCACTTGATTTTGCTGGAAGTGATGAAGGGAAACCTCAGCAAGTTCTCTGGTAGAACAGTCGGGGTCGCCCCCCGCCCCTGAGGCACGCGTTTGATAGGGCTCTCAAATGCTTATTACTGTGAGTTAAAACCTGACATTAAATGATCGACCTGTGAGTAGATGCATTTCATATTGAAAAATTTCCACTTCATGTGAAGTCATTTCAACTTTTTAAATGTTCTCTTTTTCTATAAATGTACAGAATCAAGAGGACTAGATGTTTTGCTGAACGGAATTACCTGCAACTGGTGTACGAGTACAGTAGTATTCAAGCCTGCAATGTTTCTAGAATCAATATAGAGGTGATAAATTATGCAACATCCTAATGACGAAGAAATGAAGATAGAGGATTAGTATTTACAAAACCTGTTTCAGAGAAGCATAATGAACTAGGTTTTACAGGCTACAAGACACTTTTGTCTTTATGAGATGTGCGCCAAAAGTGTCTTTATGAGATGTGTGCCAATATAGATGAAGAGCACTATCGTATTTTGAGGCAATAAAACATTGGTCCTAAAAATGGTGTTTCTTGAATGTCAGTATTTTGAGCCTTATTTGCGTACTAAGCAGATTCAACAATATTGGTTGGGGTATCGAAGTGGATGTCTTGTGCATTCCAACAAGACTGCACAACTCATGTTTATTTTCTTTTCGACTCTCCACACTTGTCAATGTAATCACTTCACTGAAATAGTCATACCCTTGAGAGTTTTTTTTATCTTGACTCTGAACTGTTTTTTACATATTGATGATAATTTGGAGAATAGAAGACAGAAAACATGTCTATCATTGTTTGGATCAATTTCTTTTCCGTATGGTTGGTATCTTGAACTTGACCTTTCATTCCTACTGCTAAACCAAAATGGACTAAAACAAAATATTTACTTACATCTAAGACTTGATTAAAGAATGTTTGAAAATATCTATTAAAAATAATAATTAAAAAGAATTGATTAAAGAATGTTTGACAATATCTATTAAAAATAATAATTGGAAAATATATATATTTATGAAGTAGAAAAAGGAAAATAAACCTTGTATTTTGTGGCATTATCCAAGGAACTCAAAATTCCATTTTGCTCACCAACCGTCAACTTAGACTTGATGGAGTGATTTTGTAATTTCTCAATAGTACTATTTTTGCATCCCATGAAAGATAATGAATAGTCATCAACGGTAATCGCATATTTTATTTTTGAAGAATTCTTATCCATGTAACTCTTTGGAGCTTTATTACAAAATTATAATTAATGATGTATAAACACAAATATTGTAGTTCTTAATTTTATATGAAGTTTTCCATTGTTGTCTTACTTATATAGTCATTACTTGTCATTTTAATTTACGTACATTCCATATTTGGATGATTTTTTTTGTACTAAAATAGGAAAAATAACTAATAATTACTTAGTAGAACTTGATTGGATATGACAAAACTCCAA